TTGCAGGACTAAGCAAGCTTTCACCAAATGTTTTCAAACCCTCGTTCGTCTTAACTGTTCAGACACTGGGCAGCAGTGAATGTACACAGAGGAAAAATAAAGGGGATGAGATTTTTTGTTTCTGAAACATTTCCCTCTCCCAAATAAAATAAAAAAGGGATGACAAATTGCCATAGGCTTGTCAGACAAGTCTAAAAGAAGCTGTGTTTTATTCCTCTTCCCTGTATCTCCTTCTCCTTTGTTTAAATATCCCTGAGATAATATGTCACTGTAAACTGAGAAGAAAGATGTGGCTGAAGGTTTTCCTAAGTGCATAGTAACTACTGGGTCTCTCTCATGGGTGAATTCTCAGATGGAGAATAAGACTCCAGGCTGCTTCAATTTCTAACATGATTGTTCAGATGACAAATGATAATCTATGACAAGTTTTCTCAAAGACAGGATGCTTATGAAGTTTCTCTTCAGTATGAATGGCCAGATGGTAAGATGTTCCTTTCACCACAGATTCTCTTCAGTGGTGATATTCAAAAACTCTTTCCCTAATAAAAGTCTGTGGATGTTGACTGAAGTCTGTGCAGTCATAAAAGGTCTTCCCACATCTGTCACCATGGCAGGGTTTCTCCCAGTATGAATCCGTTGATGATGTGTGAGGGAGGAGCTGCGATTAAAAGCCTTTCCACACTCACGGCATTCATACGGCTTCTCTCCAGTGTGAATGATGGCGTGTCGAATCAGGTTTGCGCTCCGGCAAAAGGCCTTCCCACACTGGATGCATTCATAGGGTTTCTCTCCAGTGTGAATCTGTTGGTGCCTCGTAAGGTGTGAGCTGCGGTTGAAGGCCTTCCCACACTCCACGCACTCATAGGGTTTCTCTCCAGTGTGGATGCTGAAGTGTCGAATGAGGTCTGCCCTATCACTAAAGGCTTTTCCACATTCTTTGCATTCATAGGGTTTTTCTCCAGTGTGAGTCCTTTTATGCAAGACAAAAGTGGAGTAGTGGGTGAAGGCCTTTCCGCATTCACTGCATTCATAAGGCTTCTCCCCAGTGTGAATCCGCTGGTGCTGCTTGAGGTGTGACCTGCGGTTGAAGGCCTTCCCACACTCCATGCACTTATAGGGCTTCTCCCCGGTGTGGATGATGTGGTGCTGAATGAGGTCTGCACTCTCACAAAAGGCTTTTCCACACTCGTTGCATTCGAAGGGTTTCACTCCAGTGTGAATCTGCTGGTGCCACGTGAGGTATGACCGGCGGTTGAAGGCCTTCCCACACTCAATGCACTCATAGGGCTTCTCTCCCGTGTGGATGATGTAGTGTCGAATGAAACCTGGCCTATCTCGAAAGGCTTTGCCACACTCTTTGCACACAAAGGGTTTTTCTCCAGTGTGGCTCCTGTTATGTAAGACGAAAGTGGAGCGGTGGGTGAAGGCCTTTCCGCATTCACTGCACTTGTAAGGCTTCTCTCCGGTGTGAATCCGCTGGTGCCGTGTGAGGTGTGACCTGCGGTTGAAGGCCTTCCCACACTCCATGCACTTATAGGGCTTCTCCCCGGTGTGGATGATGTGGTGCTGAAGAAGATGAGTGCTCTTGCTAAAGGTTTTCCCACACTCTGTGCATTCATAGGGCTTCACTCGAGAGTGAATCCGTTCATGCTGAACAAGGAGGGAATTCTTTTTAAACACTTTCCCGCATTCCTCACATTTATAGGAATTTTTCTCTTCACGAATCAAGGAATCTGTAACTGGTCCATGTGAATCACATTCATAGAGATCATCTTCTGTTGAAACTTGTTTCTGTGTAATCCTTGTACAGACACCATCGTCTGACCCCAAACCATCACGTTCAGAACTCATTTTCTCCAGGAGCTTCTCCCCCTGGGAGTCTATCCCTGCTTTTGAGTGGACTTCTTGCATTTCAGATGGCCCACCTTGATCCTTGGCTTGCCCTAATTGGGAGTCCTTTGAGACTCCCTGTGTCAGCCGTTCCCGGAGTAAGACTTCCTCAGGCAAGGCCAGGTGAGAAAAGCTAGGCTCTGTGGTCTTGGGTTTTGTGTTGTCACCTGGAAGGAATACAATACACAAAAAGGCTTATTAGAGATGGCATTATAGAAGAAACAAAGGCCAGGGACAGTGGCTCATGCCTGTAATCCCAGCGCTTTGGGAGGCCAAGGCAGGCAGATCACCTGAGGTCAGGAGTTCGAGACCGGCCTGGCCAACATGGTGAAACCTGTCTGTACTAAAAATACAAAAATTAGCTGGGCATGGTGGCGCATGCCTGTAATCCCAGCTACTCAGGAGGCTAAGGCAGGAAAATCACTTGAACCCAGAAGGCAGAGGTTGCACTGAGCCGAGATTGTGCCACTACACTTCAACTTGGGCAACAGAGCAAGACTCCATCTCAAAAAGAAGAAGAAGAAGAAGAAGAAGAAACAAGATCAGCATTTCAGTGAGAACAAGAAGATGAAACAGTACCCTCCCAAAGTGCTGGGATTACAGGCATAAGTCGCCATGCCCAGCCTAGAGTAGATCTTGGATGAGAAAATAATGCTGGGCACGATGGCTCATGCCTGTAATCCCAGCACTTGGGGAGGCTGAAGCGGGTGGATCACCTAAGGTCAGGAGTTTGAGAACAGCCTGACCAAAATGGAGAAATCCCATCTCTACTGAAAATACAAAATTAGCCAGGTGTGGTGGCACATGCCTGTAATCCCAGCTACTCGGGAGGCTGAGGTAGGAGAATCACTTGAACTCGGGAGACAGAGGTTGTAGCGAGCCGAGATCGTGCCATCGTACTCCTGCCAGGGCAACAGTGAGAGACTCCGTCTCAGGGGAAAAAAAAAAATTGGGCCAAAAATAGGGTCTGCCTTATAGGACTATAGTGAAGATGAAGTGAAACACTACATATACTACGTTCGGCAGAGAGCAAGGCACTGAGTAAAAAATAAATACATGTTAGCCATAATTTTTTATCATGGGTTAGTGAAGTATATACATCTGGGACCTAACTTGGAAGTACTTAAATTTAAGATGTAAGAGGCCAGGCGTGGTGGCTCAGCATTTTCGAAGGCTGAGGCAGAAGGAGAGCTTGAGCCCAGGTGTTTGAGACCCGCCTCAGCAACATAACAAGACCATCTCTATAAAAAATTTTAAAAACTCAGCCAGGCATGGTGCACATGCCTGTAGTCTCAGCTACCCAGGAGGCTGAGGTGGGAGAATCCCTTGAGCCCAGGAGGTTGAGGCTTCCGTGAGCTATGATCACACCACTGTACTCCAGCCTGAGTGAGAGAGTGAGACCCTGTCTGAGGAAAAAAAAAAACAAAAAAAAGAGGCTCCATGGATCCCAAGCACCCAGAGAGACCACAATAAGACTGCCCGCAAAATTCAGAGGCAGTGTTCACTTTTCCATGTGCAAGCTGCCATGATCCCCACCTTCCCAGCTGCTGGCTCCTACCTGGATAGGAGCTTTGGGAGAGGTCTTTCTTAACAATCCATAACTCCTCTCTGCGATCCAACTGGTAGATCAGCTCTGGTTCGAACAAAGGACAGCCTGTGCATGGAGAACGAAAGAGGACACAGGGAGTTAGATTAGAAGAAAGAAACCTCTCAATCTGTTCTGGGACTTCAGGATGGGGAAGACCATGGAATGAAGCTATTCTCAGCTAAGCAAAGAAAAATGTTAAACTGTGACCATAAAACAACTACAAAAACACCATCTGGCTGGGCACAGTGGGTCATGCTTGTAATCCCAGCACTTTGGCAGGCCAAGGCAGGTGGATCACCTGAGGTCAGGAGTTCAAGACCAGCCTGGCCAACATGGTGAAACCCCGTCTCTACTAAAAATACAAAAATTAGCCAGGTGTGGTGGCGGGCGCCTGCAATCCCAGCTACTCGGGAGGGTGAACCAGGGAGGCGGAGGTTGCAGTGAGCTGAGATCACACCACTGCACTCCAGCCTGGGCAACAAGAGTGAAACTCCGTCTCAAAAAAAAACAACAACAACAACAACAACAAAAAACCATCCTCATTAGGCCCCAAAGACTGTAAGCAGTAGTGCTGGCTGTGTGACAGTACCAATTACTTTTAATCTCCATCCTACAAAAATCTCAACCCTGTTCAGACAAATTTTCTGAAGGGATTTTATAATTAGTCCCCATGGTAGGTAGAAAAGCCCTGGTCTCCATCATCTTACAAATGGCAACCCTGATCATCTGTACTCTGAGGTAGGCAGGTGACCTATACCAGCCACTCCAAGGAGAGAGAAAGCCTTCATTCCAGGAAGGGCTAAATGAGGGAGGCTGCCACTCCTGCTGCCATGCAGCATCCTGGGAATTCTGTGAGGGAACCTGCCTAAAAACCTTACCAAGAGGAGAGAGCAAAGAGGCTGAGCACAGGGGCTCACGCTTGTAATCTCAACACTTTGGGAGTCTGAGACCAGCCTGGGCAACATGGTGAAACCCCATCTCTACTAAAAATGCAAAAATTAGCCATACATGGTGTCATGCACCTGTGGTCCCAGCTACTTAGGAGACTGAGGTGGGAGGATCACTTGAGCCCAGAAGGCCGAGGTTGCAATGAGCTGAGATCACATCACTGCACTCCAGCCTGGGTTACAGAGTGAGACCCTGTCTCCAAAAAATAAAAAAGGAAGTGGGAGCAAAGAAAGACAACTGGCTTGACACCCACCAACCCAGGAGCCAGCCTTACCACTAAGCTTATTCGGTGAGATAATATATTTCCTTCAGGGTTAAGACTGTATGAGCTGATCTGCACATATAGCCCAAAACTTTTCAAAATATAAGGGGGTAAAATACGTAAGTACTCTATAGAGAAGTTAATGGCAAGGCAGTAGGACCCACAAAAACACAAGGTGGGATTCATCAGTCATCTCTAAGCAAATGTTCACTCATTTTTGCTATGTGCCTGGCACTGAGTTCAATGACAGTGCAGTGGAAAAGGTGAATCAGACCTTCCTTCAGCTTTGTCAGGATCATGCTCACCACCACCTCAGGGCCTTTGCACACGCCGGCCTGCCTACTTAGAATACTACTTGCTCCTCTCTCTTGTTCCTTCTAATTAACTCACTCTTTGGGTCTCAGCTCAAATGTCACTTCTTGGAGAGACTTTCCTGCTGTGGCTCTCGAATCCAAGTCGTTAATCAATATGCCACCCTGCCATAGAACTTTACTCCTAATAGTAAGTCAATAACTGATATTTATACAATGTAACTATAACCTAGCGAATATGCCAAGCAATTTAAATGCATTGTATTTTATAAACACTGAATTAAATTTAGGCATTAGTTTAGAAAAGAAATAACATATTTGAGATAATGAATCTCCATTCAGGAGAAAGGTAAGTTTCTTCACTGATCTAAGACTTTTTTTTACATTCTAA